CGTATGTGCGCAACTTAAAAAATACTGCATCCATCCCAAATGTCATGAACTATAATGAAAACATCATTTCAAAACCTCAAGAAGTAGTAAATGCATTTGCTCAGTATTTCAGTAGTTCATTTGCAGTGTCATCCACGTCTTCACCTCCAAGTAATGTACAGATCAATACCAATTCTCTTTTTGCAAATTATATGGTGACAGATGCTGAAATCTGCAAAGCCTTAAGTAAACTGAAGCCTAAACAAACTACGGGTCCTGATTTAATTCCAGCCTTCTTAATTCATGACTGCAAAGCCTCGTTTGTAACTGCGCTTAAAATAATTTTTAATCTTATACTAAAAACATGTGTTTTTCCTATGCAGTGGAGAGTTACGAAAATAAGTCCCATATTCAAAAATGGCGATCAGTCTGAAATCAAAAATTACCGGCCGATCTCTATCATTAATAACTTTAGCAAAGTGTTTGAATTCATCCTGTATGACAGAACTTATAAACATGTCATGAACCAGATATCTCCGTATCAGCACGGTTTTACTGAAAAACGGTCGACTGTTACAAACCTTGCTTCTGTTACTCAATTTTTGTGTGAAAATATTGACCGTCAAATTCAGGTAGATGTTGTTTATATGGATATGTCAAAGGCTTTTGATCGGGTGAATCATCAGATTTTGATTTACAAAATGGAGTCTTTTGGATTCTCATTAGATCTTCTAACTTTAGTTACGTCCTACCTGTGGGATAGATATCAGTTTGTGCAATATCGGGGTTATAAGTCGTCTTTATTTAAACAGACATCAGGAGTCCCACAAGGCTCGGTGTTGGGTCCACTTTTCTTTGCAATATATATAGATGACTTGACAAAGAAATTGAATGTCCGGTATCTGTTATATGCTGATGATTTGAAAATATATCGGTATGTGCTCACATTAGAAGATTGCAACAATCTACAACGTAATATTCAAATGATTGAAACGGGTTTATGGGACTGTAATATGCAGTTAAATTCTGACAAATGCAGAATTGTCAGTTATACACGAAAAACTGAATATCTTAAATTTAATTACGTGATTGGTGGAACCATAGTTAAAAGGTCTGAAACTGTAAAAGATATGGGTATTATTTTCGATAACAAGCTTACGTTCCGTAACCATGTCGAAGCGATTGTTTCATCAGCCTATAAGAGCCTAGGATTTATTATTCGTAGTACTACTCAATTTAAAGATCAACAAGCGCTGTTAATTTTGTATAAAAGCTTTGTAAGATCGAAACTTGAATATGCATGCTTGGTGTGGTCGCCAATTTATTATACACATGCATGGTCACTTGAAAAAGTTCAACGTCGTTTGTGTAGAACCTTTATTTTTAGGTGCACCGGTGAATATCCTATTAGAGGTTCTCCACATGAGAATTTATTGCAATATGTACAACTGCCATCATTAGCTAAGAGAAGGAAATATTTTTCTATTAAATTTTGGTCACAAATTCTGAATTATGAAGTCGACTGTCCATATTTGCTACCTAAGATATCCCTACGGATTCCATCTTTCAATTATCGGTCATATAACTTATTCCATCTAGAGACAGCTAGAACAAATGCGTTAGCAATGCCACCAGTACATCAAATAGTTAGTGCCTACTTAACACAGAAATTAGATGCAGACATTTTTGCGTTAACAAGAGCAGTCTTCGAAGTTTGGCAGCACCAGGAATTTAATCTTAATTAATATGTATAAATATAACCTAAGTGGGACAGTGGTGATGGACAGCCGCTGATATATGTATATATTATATTAAGATCACGTGCATTATGTTGGTCAGTAATTGGGCAAAAGCCTGTTGGCCAACTTAGGTACCAATAATAATAATAATAATAATAAAAAATCAAAACAACCGAAGAAATCCAAAAACCCCAAGAAACTCAAATCCAATAATTCCAAAAATTCAAAAAAATCCAAAAACTCCATTTAATACACATATTTATAATTAAATGTTGATTTCTATAACTTTTTTTTAATTATTATTACAATTTCATTACTAGAGAGCGGATTTTATGAAATTTGCATATTCGTTATTTTTTGCATATAAGTCTTGATATTTAATATGTGAACGAATCATGCTAATTAAAAATGAATACAGCTATAAAAAAATTGCATATTTGCATATATTTGCCTTCTGCTGCATATTTCACGGAACGAGTGCATATTTTGCATTTTTATCAATTTTTGTGCTAATTTGAAAAAAAAACTTATTGTCATTCTATCGGAATTTATCTAGAAAAACGAAATTTTATTAATCATATTGCAAATATTGTACTGAGCTTCAAATAACTAGAAAAGGTTTGGCTTTTATGGTAGTTTGGAGACACCACTGGGTGTTAGCCATCCTTCCAGGTAAATTCGCGCCCTAATTACTTTTGGAAATACCGTTCATTCCCAATATTTTGTTCGTTAGTTAAGTGTAGTAATGGTACGTTTAGTGGTGGTCGAAGGGACGTTATACTATTATTTTTCATCGTGAGTTTGTACTGAAAGCATTTAAAGGGATACAGGTGTATCAATATGTCGAAGATAACTCAAATTAATTTATGGATTAAATCTTTTCCTGAACTTCTTCAAGAACGAACTGTGTTTTGTCGCGCCTGCTCTAAACCGGTAAGTATTTTTACATCTGTGGACGTAGTTTTTCTATTCACAAATACATTTACTTTAGAATCACCGGAAAAACTTTTTGTTAGAATATTTCGAAAAATATCTAAAAATAAATTGTTACCAAAATAGTAATTAAATAGTGGATTACTACTATTTTTTAATTTGATCTGTTTATATTATTTTTTAGTATAAGAATATTATCTTTAAAAACGTGATTTATGTGTTAGTGTAATTAGTAGTAATTAAACACTTTGCAATGCGATTTATGTATTTTTTGTAATAAAACGTAAGCTCGGGAAACCTGTTTTTGAATTTTATAAATAAATTTAGTTCGCTTGTTAAGCTTTTTTTTAATTTTTGGAGCATATGCAACTGCATATCTGTGCATATTTTAAGAAAGTTACTGCATATTTGCATAAATTTGGTGCATATCATATGATCATATTTCTCAAAATTTTGCTGCATATTTTCCGCTCTCTATTCATTACCATTCGTTCATTAATTGCACTGAGTGATATGCATAAAAATTAGTATATTATACTAGTGTTTATAATCACAAAAATTAATTTAAACTACACAGTATATACTACATGCTACGTAGGTTAAAATTTTTCCACCGTTTACTAAATTTTCCGCTAAATGCTCAGATCAATACCTATGCGTAATAAATAGTATCTACTTGATTTCACAAGTTAAAACTTATTTTTTTTAAGCTGCTGCGCGAGATGCTTGGAATTTTGTTTTATTTGTTCTAAGAGGAATTAAACCAAACTATCAGAGTCCTGAATTGATTGACGTTCAAAATGGCTCAATTCATACTGCCCATTCGCCGACCAAAATTTTATAAGGCAAGCTGGTGCTTTTACTTATAAAGGTAAGTACCGATTTGAAGAAGATAACGTAGAGTACCTAGCCGATGTGTTTTGGGGCGAAAACAATGAACGAAGGGGAGGTACTTTGACACCAAAACAAGAAATAGAAATATTTTTGAGGTATGTCGGTGACCCTGCTTTTCAATTTGGGGTTGATAGGAACAGTGGTGCCCATCAAAGTTTGTAAAGTAAAATTTGTTAGTGAAAAAATCTACGAAAAGGTAAATCAGTGGATTCAATTTTCAGCGCAACAGGCCGAAATCGACGCATCTAGACACCAATGGCAAAGCATTTTATTTTCCTTTTGTTATTGGCGCTCTAGAATTCACTCAGATTAAAATTAAAAACCTTTAGAACATGGAGATGAATACATATGCAGGAAGCAGTTTGCTTCAATAAACGTACAAGCTACATGTAATAGTAGAGAATGGTTTACAAGTGTTGATGCCAGGTGGCCAGGTTCTGTGTACGATAGTAGAATTTGGATAAATTCTTCAGTATTAGCCATTATTTCGGGATACCAAGGACAAGCCATCCTCTTAGGTGACTCGGGTTATGCTGTTGCTCCTTGGTTGATAACTCCCTACAGAAACCCAAGAAACCAGGTTGAAATACACTTTAATAACATGCACAAAAGAAATAGAGTGATTATTATCGAAAGATGCTTTATTTGGTCAAGTAAAAAAAATATTTCCAATTTTGATGAATGATATTACGGTTAGTTTGTCTAGAATACCAAAATTAATAGTTTCTTGTTTTGTTCTGCATAATGTTTGTAAATTTCTAGATGATGTAAGCGACATTCCTGATATTCTTCTTGAATATGATGAAATAGTAGAACACCAAAACCACAATTCAATTAAAGGAATTCAATGCAGAAATGAACTGGCTCAAATTTTGTATGCCCAAAAGATAAAAGACATTTTTTTTATTTTAATAAAACAGAAAATCACAGGAAACACTCTTCCAGCTACGTACAAAATTATTCCTTTACTCTTTTAATTTTTTTTGCTGTATTTTTATTAATTTTAACTGTTACAATAAAACTAGCCTTTGTAACTCGGTAAGCAATAAACCTCAAGTTTCATTCGTTTCTGCTGCTAGTTCTGTTGATGAATGCTTTCTTTTTGGTGGCAGTGGCAAAGTAGTTCTGTGGGCGGAATTTAGTTTTAATACCTCCAATTCTTTCGAAGTTCCGGCAGCTGCATCACCTGATAAGGGCATTGTTATAAATTCTTGCATACATCACCTAAGTAATAACGTCAAAAACGTTAACATACGTGGAATTCGATAAACCGTGCGATTACTTTTTATTATTTATTAATTTTAATAAGGTGTCCTCCCAGGAAACTCTATTTGGCGATAAATAAACAAAAATTAAATGTTTGCAAGTCTATTTTTTATTTGTCATAGTGATATCAATACTGTTTTCATGCTTACATTTATCGTGATTATCACTTATTTTGAGATAATAAAATACTTCTAGAAGTTTTATAATGTCTATAGATTTAATAGCATCGGACTACAACATTGGAAAAACTACTGTACATTTTTATTAACGACGTTACAAATATAACTGAAGTCTTGAAAACAGGACATTTTTTTCGGCAAATTACTAGACACATCTTTTAGAAAATTCATTTGCTTTTTCAACAACCTTAGCAGCGCAAGCTTTAATGAGTTCAATTTGTTCCTCAACGGCTTGACGATCGAGTTCAATCTCATCGTTAATTACATCTGGAACTGCCGCCGTTTTCTCATTGATGTCTGCAGTCACCCCAGCCAGGCACTCTTCATTAGACCGACCACAGAAAATGATTTCCTTCTCTTCATCATAAATAGTTTTCAGTGTTTGGACAGTCAATCCAGAACTCTTGTCGAAAATAAGAGTGACAGCTTCATCAGCTTGATCGTTGACACAAGTTTCTAGATCATCAGCAGCTTCTTGCAGCAGGCGAGTAAGAGTTCCGAAACAGCTAGCCACTTTAGACGGAGTTGAATTTCTGACTTTCTTCAGTTGTAGAATAAGTTCCGCGGTTTTGGCTTCCAGGTCTTTTAGACCGGTTTCTTTGGTGTCAAGGGCCACAGTGTCAACTTCTGTAGACAATTTGATATGTTCCAAGAAGCCTCCATTGAGGTTGTCGCTCGTTGTTTGACGGAGAACGTTGAGAGCTGCCTCTGCATCGTCTACTGCATCAGCATGACAAAGCTAGTAAAGTAAACGGTTAGACAGTGAAAAAAGAAAAAAATTGCAATTGTTAATGTTCATACCTGAGCAGTGACTAAAGCACCAAGGATGAACAACAAGATATTTCTGAACATCGTGTTCTGATAGCAAGTTAGAATCTGATACAGTGTCTAGAGAGCAGGTTCTTTATATCTGTTGAGTATGTTTTTCCCAAATTGCACTTATCAGATTTTATGAAGTGATATTAATAGATAGTTTTGAAATATACTTGACATGAAGTGTATCGGCTAATTTGTTAATTAGAATTACACATAAAGTACATATTATATTCTATTAATAGGTTTGTTTTAAATGATAACCGATTGTTCAAGAATTTTTTAATACAGCGGAGGTCATGTTATGTTTGTGTTTTTTTTTTGTTTTACTATGTACTCAATAGAAAAGTACGTCGTTGTTTTATACAAAATAATAAACAAAAGCGTCACTTTTCTCTGTCTCCTTCACTTCATTTGAATTTTTTGTCCTTCTCCATTCATTAAAATACTTGTAACATTTTTCATATTTGTGTTTCGATTTCTCAGATACTAGTTTCTGCAGCGTAGTCAAAATGCCAAGATCTTTAGAATTACCCATTTTTTGCATTTTTACTTCTTGAGCGTAAGCTAAGTATAGAAAGAACACTACAGCAGTAGCTAGTAAAATTTTTTTGATATTTTAAAATTAACCATGAAGGTTGGACTCACAAAACCATAAATCACAAATTCAATGCAACCCTGGATGTTTGTAGCCCACTATACACTGGCAATAGGCTCCTTTTATTGGCGACATTATCGCTCTGCATTGTCCGACAATCCCTCAAAATAGCAGTTGTAAAATTTTACTAGGTACAGATGTGACCATTAATAATGACCGACCCCCGGTCCTAGGAATGGACTGCCGAAAGTACTCGAACGGTTCGAGAAAGGCAAGGTTGGTTTACAACTGCAAACATAGACCTGCATTTATCAAAATTCAGCTTTCTTTAAGGGCTCGGGTAATTTCGGCAGTCCATATCTAGGACCATGGCCACGGGAGGCGGTCATTATTAATGGCCTCTACTGTACTGTTGTAGCGTTCTTTCTATAAGTATTGTAATCGAGCCCATCGGCTGACTCCCTACTTTTATGTTTTTTCGACCTTTCATGACCTCTAGAGTACGATAAAGGAGCTCTCCTGTTTCTGTTTGTCTGTCGTCTGTCTGGAGTTTTATTAGACAGATACGAAACTACTGGACCGATTGTTGTCAAAGTTTGTATGTTTATTAGGAATATCATGCAGATGGTAAAACGCTCACCAAAATTTTGCTAATCATCCTCACCACCAATGGGATGACGTTAACTCCAAAATTTGCAATAATATTTTTTTTTTTTGTTTTATAAAATACGATACTCTTGTACTTGTGATGTATCAATTCGTGTTGAGTTTTCACCTTAGACATCCAGATTTTTTGAAAAACTTAAAATTGTAAAGCAACATTTTAAGATTATCGTAATGATGGTAAATCGTTAATTAAAATTGATTCGTTTATCCCCTCCCAAAATTTTTTTTTTGCAATCTTCACACTCGTTGTTCAATTGAGACTTATTAATAATTTTAGTCAGCTGTTTTGAGGCGATAAACTCATTCGAATAAAACAAATATACGTGATTCTTTCGATGTATAAACATAAACAATTGAAACAAACACTACACATATTTCTCAATACCACTATTCCCGTTGGTAATGTACTGTAATTATATTTTACAATGTCCGTACTTGTGTAGAGACGGTTTATGCGGATATGTTTGGGATGCTCGACCATCAGGCTCCCGAAGTTAAGGGACCCCTTCAGTCCTACATTTAGCGGAAAACTAAATTTATTTGTTTTTAACTTGGTTATTAGAAAGGATTTCGTCATCGACTGACCGTTTGTCAACAAATACGATCTCGATATTGTGCAAAATGCAAAATTGTCCTCTTCCGGGCGTTCCAGTAAATTACGACTTGCATCCAGGCAACCACCTGCACAAAGAGCTGCCGCCTGATTTTGGTTTACAATATTGTTTTTCATTCTTATTTTGCTTTTTTTAATCGTTCAATAAAGTATACCGTACATTTTTGAAATTACTGCACTTGCGTTCACATTTTTTCGAATTGCTTATACAGGCTGATGCAAAAAAAAATAATGACTCAACTTATTTTTCCCATTTTTTTTTGAGGGGGGGGGATATAATACGTTATTGTTAATATTACTGCACCAACCTAAGTTGAAATACATGTTGTTGAAAAAATGACGATGACGTCATCACAATTTTGTAAAGTAAGAACTTATTTGAAACAAACGCGTAGCATACTTTATTACATTTACTTTAGCATTACATATTTAAATATATTTATTTCAACTTATAGGGGTTTTTTTTGGAAAATGCTTGATATGTACTTGTACTTCAGGAGCGAGGAAAGTTCTGTCGAATCAACTTTCCACTAATTTTTTATAGGGGACGACTCCATTAAAAGTTACGAATAGCGATAATTATCAAGCACTCTTTTGTATATTTTAAAATGTTTGGCACTTTAGAATAAATTTTAAGAGGCGTGATTGCACGTCGAGATAATTATTTTGAAAACAAAGATTAAATTAATCATTATTATTAATTTTAAAATTCACATAGAAATAAAGGTATGACCTTGATTCGTATCATTTTTCCATGAAGATAATCTACGCAACTAAAATCAATAAAATTTCCACAGACAAACAATGATGTATATAAATATTTTTTTGCTATAACCGTCTTAAACGTATGACATTTTTTGACTGTTAGGAGTCATTGACACTTTTCTTACTAACACAAAAACAATAATATCCTAGCAACAAAAGTATTTACTTCTAATCCTAGGAGCTAAAGTTGTCACTTTTAATCCTAGGATTAGAAGTGTTAATCTAAATTTAAACTTAATTAAATTAAATACACAGTTTGAACAAGTTTTAAAATGAAACAAGCCACTGGAACTGCCAGTACCCTCATTTTTGGATCAAATCGCAGAGCGGGCCAACATATGGTTATTTTAGATATATCATAAGAAATAAGGTTTTCTAAGGTCATGTTACTTTCAGAATCAATTGTAAAGTTCTTGCGTGAAATGGACGTGAAATCAGAAGCAGCAACTGTGCTTGGTTTATGATTACCACTATCAAGTTGTAGTATTCTTTTCGCAATATTTTCTTTATTCGAAAGTCTTCAATGTAGCTTTCCACCAAAGTGAGGTAACGTCGTTCGTCGTAATTCGTGTCCTGTATACTCTTTCCAGTTATACAACTTCAAAGATTTTGCTGCTTCTTACCAGAAGGGACTGATTTTACGAATACCAGCCAATCCAGCCATTATTCGATGACACTTTAACGTGTAAAGCGTGTAGTATTCAAAAACGTCCAATTAGGTACATAATATTTGACAACTACTGACAAATTGCTATAGACTGTTAAAGAGAGGGTTGCCTCTTTATAATCGTAGAAAAAAATAGTGTACAAAACTGGGTGTAAAGTGTCTCTCGTTTGCTCGTGAGATTTCCGCACTTGGCTGGCCTCATGCGTCAAAAATTCTCATTTGCACACGATATCATTCACTTTCCATGCTCATTGTGTTGTATACTATTTTAAATAAAGCAACGTGTTTGCATTGTAAAAAAATATTAGGTACGTGAATCCTTTACAATTCTTGAAAATATTACTTTAAAAATAATTAATGTAAGGTATGTGATGAATAAGACGAATTGGGGAATAGAAATATATAAAAAAACATTCAGTCTTCCATTTTTTCTTTACTTGTATGAAAACAGAGAACGTCATCCACCACACAAATGAACCCCATTTTACAACTGTATTCCCTATATACATATTTTTAATCAAAAATATATTGTTTAAATATCCAAAGCCGACAACAGTTTGTACGTACTTAAAAACAAGTGTTGCAAATTTATAAACACTTTTTAGATATGATAACATAATCGACAAAGGGAATCAATTTCTGTGCACATATCTATAAAAAAACCCGGCTGAATTTTTCATTAAGTCTTCAGGAGATCCAAATTCAGCAACACGTCCATTTTCTATCACCAGGATCTTATCAGAATCCCTCACGGTATTCAGACGATGGGCAATCGTTAACACTGTACAGTTCTGAAACCGCCTTCTAATAATATTCTGTATTATTTCGTCAGTATTGACATCAACGCTAGCGGTAGCCTCATCCAAAACAATTATTTTAGCATCTCGCAAAAGTGTTCTTGCTAAGCATAACAGTTGTTTTTGACCAACGCTAAAATTTAAACCACCTTCTGACACTTTACTGTCCAAACCTAAAGGCTTCGAAGTTACGAATTCTTTCAACTGAACCTCCTCTAACGCTTGCCATAACTGTAAGTCCGTGAACTGGTCGAACGGATCTAAATTTTTGCGTAATCTACCCAAAAATAGAACCGGTTCTTGAGGAATAATCGCCAGTTTAGAGCGAAGAGTAGTCAGAGCTATTGATTTGGTGTCCACATTATCTATTAAGATCGATCCATCGAAATCAAATAAACGGAAGAGGGCGGATGTTAGTGAAGTTTTTCCTGCACCTGTTCTACCAAGTATTCCGATTTTTTCGCCGTGTTGAATTTCAAAAGATATATTTTTAAGAATAAGAGGATTGTTGGGAGAATAACGCATAGACACGTCGCAGAACGATATGTGTCCTCTTTCTGGCCATGTTGTTGGAGGAACGAAGAAATGATTGGATGGTTCTTGTGGGAGATTTGTATATTCGACAATTCGTTCTACTGAGGAAATGTAAGAATCGAGTTCGCCCCAACTTTTCATTCCTAGTTGGATCATTCCTCCCAGGATAGTGGAAAGTGTCACTGCTAATCCAACATCTCCGACGTTGGTTTCTAAAAAATCGGTATTTCAGAAAGTATGCATCAAATGATTGTGGCTTACCTGTAATGAAAAAGAAACTGAAAGTCACAGCTCCCGTATAGAACAGAAGCAAAACGTCAGTCCAAAATCCGAGACTGAAAAATAAACTTCTAAACAAGTAATAGGATGAAGTGTGGTAATCTTGTCGTTTGTTGAATTCTTTCTGAAGTACTTTTGGAGCACCGAGAGCTTTAATGATCGTAAGACCTTGTATTGTGGAAGTTAAGTGACTGAAGATTGGATTTCTGGCTAAAATATTAGAATCAAGGCAGAAGTTTTCTAATAAGAACTTACCATTTGCTTCGATTCTTCGTATGGAAATGTTACTAGGTTGGAAAATTATAGCACAGTAGTAAAATACAATGTACAAGATGATGGATGGTATGATCAATCTATGGTTGAGCACACAAATGACTGTAGTTAAACCTAATACCATAAGAATTTGGGTAATCACTTCATGGAGGCTACCAGGGATATATTCATCAACGTGTCCTATATCTTTAGAAAACCGATGCATAATACCACCGGCAGAGTTGTGTTGAAAAAACCGGATAGGTGACCAAAGAACTTTAAAAAACATGCGTTCGTGAAAATTTTCGGATATATTTCTACAAAATTTAACAAAAAACCAAGCCCCTGTGTGAGTAGCTATAGTCAGAAACAATATGAGAAAAACATAGATGTACAACGACTGCTTCGTCATAAAAAATCTCTTCTGTGTATTGTCTAGTTTTTGCGAATTATTCACCCAAAATGTGATAAAATAGTCTATCCCATATCCTAAGCTTTGATTGTAAATTAGCAAGAGCAGAAGAGTAATTATTAAAATCCAGCTTCCTCCAGCTAACAAATAGTTGGCATAATCACTAGTACTTGCTCTTTTCTCCACGATTTCTTCATCTGTTGATCTTAATGACTGCTTTGGTGCTATCTCCGTTCGTTGGTTATTTTCAAAAGGATAAGATTGTATGGTCGTCATTTCTTGAGGTCTCATCACCTTGGTCACTTTTCCTGAGTCTAATAAATAGACTTTATCCACACTATGCAACAGTTTTACTTGATGAGTCACCAGAACCACACATTTATTTTTTAAGTATTTGTGGATACACTCATTAAAAATTTGCCTGCCAACGTGTACGTCAACAGCTGATAATGGATCATCTAGCAGATAAACGTCTGCCTCTCCGTATACAGCTCTAGCTAAATTAATTCTAGCTTTTTGCCCTCCACTCAACATCACTCCTCTTTCACCTACCAACGAGTTATCACCATAGGGAAGTTGTAGTAAGTCATGATCTAAAGCAGTCATTTTTATCACCTGAGCATATTTTTCTTGTTCCATTTCTAAACCGAAAAGTATATTTTCTCGAATCGTTCCCGAGAAAAGCCACGGTTCTTGAGAATAATAAGAAACTCGTCCTCCAACCTCTACAGTTCCTTCTGTTAGGGGTAGCTCGTTTAAGACAACTTGCAGCAAAGTAGATTTGCCACTTCCGGGGGATCCGATTACACATACTAATTCTCCAGGTTCTGCACAGAACGTAACATTGGTCAAAGTATTGGAAGATGAACTCTGGTCCCACTTAACACTAACATTTTGCAAGAAAACACCAGACATATTTACCGTCGACTTAAAAATATTTTTATCAACGTCGCAATGCTCCGAAAGCAAAAAGTCTTGGATTCTCTGGATCGAGATTTTGGCTTCTGAGTACCGGAAAAACGCTACTGGCATGCGTACTATCGCTGTGAACTTCAAATTTTCGTATAGGTTAGTCAAAGAAAAAACATATTGGGAAGTTATTGATAATCTTCTGAAATAAGCTCCAAGGATGCAGAGCAGAACAGAAATTTTTGGAACATAGATTTTGATAATGCTACTACAAATGCGGAAATGGTTGGCTAGAGTGATTTGTTCTAATTCCACACTAAAAACGTATATTTAATCTTATAGTTGTTAAACCTTAGAACTTACTTTCTAGCAGTTTGGACTAGTTTTGAAAATGGTATTTCCCAGGTGTACATTTTAATTAGTTGAATTCCATTTATTATGTCTGCCATTAAACGAATTCTGTGGTCTGTTCTTAATGCTACATTTCTGCGAACACTAGCTGCCTTTCTTGAAATATAAACTTGAAGAAAGTTTGCTTAGGACCTTGAATAAGTCAGTGCTACTCACCTTGAAACAATAAAGCAACTATTATTGCACTGATTCCATGTGTAGATGTATAACCAAAAGTCATATATAAGTAGTAGGTCGATGCCAAAAGTTTAACAGGACTGATCCACATGTAGTGGAAATGAGAAAAAATTAAATCAAACCGATATACATCATTTGAGAGTAAATTTATAATTCTTCCAACGGTAATTTCTTGTAGTGTATGTTTCCTCAGCGACAGACATTTTTTGAAAATTAACGAACTGCAAGCTATTCTTACTTTCATTCCTAAGTTGTACAATTCCAAAATAACTGTATGGAATATTAAAATATAAATGAACGAAAGCATGACGATGGATGATGCATACAGATAGGCTTGCGTTTTAGTCACTTCAGTTTGGTTCGGCGTGTGATAATCCAGAAATTTTGCCAACAAAAATGGTTGTAATAAACTAAAATAGGCCTATTTAGCAATTTACATATTTTCGATTGGAAGCAACAAACGCCAGAATAAGATCGATTGGAAATAATATGATGCCATATAACCAACATTCAAACTGACATGTACTCATTATAGCTTTTAGTAAAGAAGATCTTGTACCATTTTCTGATTCCTTGGACCATACTTCTTCTAGTTTGTCACCAAGACGTTGGCACTGATAATCTGTGTAAACTGAAAAAAGATCTCGTTCCGTAAGCCCTTCTTTCCAACCTTTAATCAATATAGGCAATTCCCACCTAAAAAAAGAGTTATTTAAGGCCTATTCAAACCGAGTTGTTTACCAAAAAAATATTCGTGAGACCCAATTTGGTTTTTTGTTAGACATTTTTTGCCGCAGAACAAAACAACACCTGTAATGTTGAACTAAACAGTGATAAAACGCAAATTATGTTTAAACGTCATGAAGTTAACTGTCTGCTATAACAGGGTATTTAAAATAGCTGATACGGCACTAGTAAAGGACTGGTTGAAGCATAAATTGCTTTGTTTTGTTCATAGAACGATTATATTTATCAAATGATGAGTTAAGTTTGTGTCCGACTTAAAGAATACAAACTTTAGTCGTTTTGATAATATGGTTCAAATTTAGTTTTTTGCCACCGCATTAGAGATCGTCCGGCCAAAGAATGACATGTTGAGTCATCACAAGCTAAGCACAAGAGCAGGTGGGGAAAGCCGTCAGTGGCGTAGTCATATTTTGTTGTCTAAAGATCTTGGTGTACGCGTCGAAGGAAAATGTTATTATAAAGCTCTGAAAAGTACTGATTTATAAAACTTGTAAAACAAATAGTGAAACAAAAAAACTCACATAGCGCTAGTGAAACATAGGTGAAACAGGTGAAATACAAAACGAAATGCAGCAGACGCCACTGAGGGACTGCCTCTCCTCCTTTTTGAAAATAGACTCGTCTTGTCTCAGTTTCGTTCTTTGCGCACTTTATTGGTGTGCTATAATTACAGCAGCTAGACTTTAATTCTACGCTGACCCAATCAGTGACTATAGCAATTACCAACAACTCACCAATATAATTTAAATATTAAATTTGATTTGCTATTAACTGAGCGGCGACAGATATACAATCTCCCAGTTAAATGCGTCGCAATGTCGATCAGAAATGTAGCGGTCGACCAGAAATGAGCTATTGCGGTGGCGTCTCGTTATGCATTTAACGATGATCAAGCATATTACTCATAATTGTGCAGTATTTTTATCCTATTCATTACAATATTTTGATGGTGTGTTGAAAGATTATGTTTTTCCAAATGTATATGTATTTCCTGTATTTGATAGTGTTATATTGAGTGTGCATTAACCAGACTATCACGGATTCTCCTCTGGATCGTATACTAGTACGATTTCTTTGATTGATAATTAGGGAGACTAATTAACTCAACATATGTGCGAGTGCGAGGTCAGTCCTACCAACTCGCTGTAAGTTATCAGGTTATCACTTTCTTATCATACATACGTAGCGATACATTTATACCTGACACGAAATACTATGTACTAGATATACCATTTTTCTGTGTTTACCTCGGCTACTTCCGTGGTCTTTCTGTTTGTGTTTTAGTTAGCCACCTTGAGAGACCCCTTGGTGCAGAAGATCTGTATCCCCTGTTGACTTCCTACCATTTGCTATAATGAATTGCGGCACTGATACTAAGTCATCGAATTTCACATCCATACCATGTGATGTTTGTCATGGACTGTTACATCTTAATTGTAATTGTTACATCTTAATTGTAATCTTAAAGTGGTTTCCAACGCGTGCAATAATAATATGACGCAGTTTAAGGATGTAAAGACTTTAATCTCTGCTCTTCAGGCTGAATTCACGACCTCTATCAACAGTTTGAAACTAAGCTTTGAAACCCAGCTTAATGATCTTAAGGCATTTTTTACTCATAAACAGGAATTAGCACCTACCCTGTTTGAGGATCTCGTTGGTGAAGTGATAGATCGCCAAAGTAGAAAACAAAATTTAATCCTCAGAGTGTCAGAGCAATCAAGTAGTTTTTCTCGAGATCAAGTTACAGAACTTGATCGGGTTTCGACCATTACAATCCTCAAAACCATGGATTCGTCTTATGATAATGATCATCTGCAGGTTCAACGTTTGGGTCGCCCTTCCAGTGAAAAAACTAGACCTTTAAAAGTCACGTTGCGTAGCGAGAAGGAAGTAATCAATTTTGTTAAAGGTGTGAAGCACCTACGAAGTTTGCCTGAGTACAAGACTTTCTATTTCCTTTGATAGAACACAGAAGCAAAACCAGTACTACAGGCAGATCAAAGAAGAACTGAACAACCGGTTGAGCAGAGGCGAAAGAAATTTGAGAATTCGTTATGTCAATGGCGTCCCTAAAATTTTAAACTAGTTCGCTCACCCACTTACTGCCACTCATTTGAATTACTATACCAAAACTTTCGAGGTCTCCGATCTAAGGTTTCAAATTTTTATAATTCTGTGTTGGAAAATGATTTTGACTTTATTGGTTTATCAGAAACATGGCTTACTCCTGATATAAGTATTTAATACTGAATTATTTTCTAATAATTACGTTCTGTTTCGAAAAGACAGGAGTGCTGATTTAAGAGGACTATCCAAAGGTGGTGGTGTTCTGTTAGCTATCAAGCATATTTTTAAGTGTAGCGAATTAGATGTCAGCAGTATTACTAGTAGCTTTCCCTTCACTGATATGATATGCATTAAGGTTAGTGATTGTCGCAATATTAAATTCTTTGTAGTAGTATTATACATACAGCCTAATATTCCATTTTTAGAGTTTGAACTTTTTATTGATACTCTTAACTCATTAAAACCTTTGAAACATGAAAATAATGTTCTATTCATAGGCGACTTCAATGTACCTGACTATATTAGTATTGAAAATCGATTCTGTACCACCTTAAACCACTTTTGTAATCTTCATAATTTACATCAGTACAACAATATTCTTAATGGTCATGGAAAACTTTTGGACCTATTTTTTTTCAATTCTGAATGCGTGGTCGAGAAATCAGTCTCGCCATTGGTAGATGAAGATTCACATCACCCCGCTCTTTATTTACGCATAAAAACAATTCTTAGGAGTTCTTCCCTTCCTTTTCATTTGAATAGTAAAGATCGATGTTATAATTTCAAGAATGCAAATTATCCTCTTCTTTATGACCTGCTTGCATGCTGTGACTGGACTTTTTTTAAATATATTAAGGATGTTAACATAGCTTGCTCTATGTTTTATAACAAATTATATGCTTTATTTGATCTGTCAATACCTACCTAAATTTGCTCCCAGAAATCAGCGTCACTATCAGGTGAACCAGGGGGGGTCACATCAACACCATTTCAATTTATTTAAAACTCAGCGTGCTTTCTGTGAGAAACTTATTAGTGAAGCATATAAAGCATACTTAAGTTCTGCTGAGAACTCATTATCTAATGATCCTAAAAAATTATGGAGTTTTATAAATAACAAAAAAGGATCGACAGATATTCCAGGCTTACTACATCATAATAACATCGAGATTTCTGATCCTCTTGAAATAGTTAATGTTTTCGGCCATTACTTAATAGTGTTTTTATTCCTCCGTCTCCTCTTGATGCTGACAGCATCTCTGTACATTGCAACCCCGGATCGTCGATAATCTCTGTAGATCATATTTCCATATCTGATTTAGTAGTACACTTGCAACAATCCAAAAACTCGTTAACACCGGGAATTGATAATGTTCCTAGTTTTATATAGTTTTATACTTAGAGACTGCGCTCATTCCTTGCCGATCCTCTTTATACTATATTTACTTTAATTTTGCAACGTTCAGAGTTTCATTGTATTTGGAAAAGAGTCATGATTTGTCCAGTTTTCAAAAAAGGTAAAACTAATCAAATTTCGAATTACAGACCTGTCTCCTTGCTTTGCAATTTTGTGAAAACTTTTGAATCAATTTTATCTAAATACATCTATAGTTCAATTAAACATTTAATATATCCTTACCAGCATGGATTTATGTTAAACCGTTCAACTGTCTCCAACTTAACATTATTACTTTCATAGTTCGTCTCAGAAACGCTCGATGCCAAAGGACAAGTTGACTGTATATATACCGACTTTTCCAAGGTATTTGATCAAATCGATCACCATATACTATTGCAAAAGTTTCGTATTTTAGGTTTTTCCGATTCTTTACTAAAATAATTATGTTTGTCTTACCTCTCTAATCGCGAATTTTGGGTCAGATATGGTAACTTCACGTCCTCTGCTTTTTCTCCCACATCTGGGATACCCCAAGGCTCTAACCTGGGGCCGTTGATTTTTCTTTTATTTATTAATGACCTTGCAGATTTGGTTTTGTGTGACAAATTAATGTTTGCCGATGATTTTAAACTTTATTCAAAAACTGAGTCTTTACATGATTGTGCATTGCTTCAACGAAATATCGAATATATTGTGCAGTGGTGTCTGGAAAATCGTTTGTCTCTGAATAAAAGCAAATGTAATGTAGTATCTTATTCAAAAAAACACATAAATATTATTTACGAGTATAACATTAATGGTTCCATTATTGAGAGATGTCATACAGTCAAAGATTTAGGCATAATATTTAATAGTAAACTCACCTTCGTGCAACACATTCATGCGTCGATTGCTGCTGCACTTAGAACCTATGGCTTTATATATAGGAACTGCGGCAATTTTTGTAATGTTAGAACATATTGTTTTGTTCCTTGATTAGGTCGAAAATGGAGTATGGTACTTTAATTTGGTGTCCGATTTATGAAATACATTGCCGTAATTTAGAATCTGTTCAAAGACGATTCCTCCAATTTTTAGTACCCACATTTGGAGGACGGTGTTTATCCCCCTCAAGGTTATGAACACTCCCTGTTACTTTCTCGTTTTAATTTTTTGTCTTTGGCTGTACGACGAAAAGTAATAGCGGTCAGATTTTTATATAATTTATTTCACAATAAAGTAGACTGCACTGATATTCTAAGTAGATTTATTAATATACTTGTACCTAGACTTAATTCTCGCCAACAAGTTCTGTTTTATACTGATTCTAGCCGTACAAATGTCTCAGTTCGCTCTCCAGTGTCGGTTATGTCTAATTTATTCAACAAAATTGCACATTTATGTGATATTAATTTTGATTCTAGTTTTAGTATTTGTAATTGCATTGTAAATTTGGGTTAATTAGCTATAGATACTTTTGTTTTTTCAATATTTATACTTTTTAGTTACTGTCATGAATTAGTTTAGTTAGTTTGACATTATTCCTGTAATTGGGTATTACCTGTAGGAATAAATATTATTATTATTATTACCTTACCGAAATGCCAATTGTTAATATTTGT